TGAGTGTACGAAAGGGAAATTTTGATTTTGACCCGACGGTGCTTGCGACTTGGACATATGAAAGCAATTACTCTTCCCATTGCCCGGAGTTGGCAATAATTTTTATTTTTTAAATATTTTTTTAAAATGGTAGGGTACCAGACTTATTCATCTTGATTTTTTGAAGTGTGGGATTGTGTGGTAGAGAAAATTTCAGATCTATCTATAAAATAAATTTAAATCACAAGATGATAATTTTAAATAATTATTAAATAATTAAGTCTGGATCCATAATATTGTTAGAATAGGAATAAGTGCGAAAGCAATTACTCTTCCCATTGCCCGGAGTTGGCAATAATTTTTATTTTTTAAATATTTTTTTAAAATGGTAGGGTACCAGACTTATTCATCTTGATTTTTTGAAGTGTGGGATTGTGTGGTAGAGAAAATTTCAGATCTATCTATAAAATAAATTTAAATTACAAGATGATAATTTTAAATAATTATTAAATAATTAAGTCTGGACCCATAATATTATTAGAATAGGAATAAGTGCAAGGCTAAGGGATCTCACAATTCAAACTTGGGTACTGGGTTTGGTTGTTTCTTAGAATTTTTTGAGTTAAATTTTTATTTTATTTTGTTTTATTATAATACACTTTTAATTATTATATTATCATGTATTGGGATTCACAATTTTTGAAATTCTTATAATTTTATGATAGGGGATACATTGGAAAAGTAGCACAGAAATTTAAAAATAAAAAAAAGGGTGGGTTTAGTTTGTGTTTTGAAACATGTTTTTAGAAGAAAATTTTTAAAAATATGTTTGGTTATAATTTTTTTTTTTTAAATTTCAAAATTATTTTTCTCTCTCTCTATTACACACCAATCAATCACTTCTTCTCTCTCACACACATCTACTCAATTACAACAAAATATCAAATTATCCAAAACTCTAAAAGTCTAAAACTATTTTCAAAATATATAACCAAACAAACCAAATTTTTTTTTTAACTTTCTCTCCAAATTTTTTTTTTTTACAAATTTATCTCAAAACACAAACCAAAGACAATCTTTGACAGAACTTATTCACCCATCATTTTTGCTCGAAGTTATGAACAACTAATTTGAAAATCAAACCAATTTTAAGCCAACTAAAGTCGTGTGGTCATCAATATTAATTAACGAAAGTCCATTGAGTGAAAGGTTGGGCACCGACTAAGCTACTTGGATCATTGGTACATAATTCTAGATTCTTAAGTTAAAAGGACTAATATCACGAACTATTATCGTTTTGCCTATTTCAACTGTAAATTATTAATTTTATCTAATTAATTCATAAACTTATTAATTTTATTACTATTTAGTTTTTAAAGTTTATTTTTTTTAGTTCATGTAGTACAATTGGAGAAGATTATATAAATCAATAATCATCGAAGCCTAATTTGATTAATCAAAAAAATCATTTTAAAACTTAAACAACTTAAGTATACACTAAACACCCATAAAATTGGTTGCGGAGTGTAGTTTATTCAAAATAATAAGAAAATTTTTAGTTGTATAATTTAAGTTGTTCAAATTTCAAGGTGACCATTTTGCTGATCAAATCAAGCTTTAACAATTAGTGATTTGTACAAAAAATGAAGCTTTGTCCCCACAAATCAAGCTCCAATGGTTACTGATTTATACATATTCTTCGATTGCATGAATTCAAATCATTTAAAAAAAAAAAAAACTAAATAGGTGAAATTGATGATTTAAAAATATAATAAACAAAATATAGTTTAGAGGATAAAAATAAAATTAATCTAAATTAAAATTTTAGAAAATCGACGAGAAACAAAACAAACTTTTAGTGGAATATCCGTATATATATGTATATGAAAATTAATAATTTTAAAAATAGATAACGATTAGATTTATTTTAATTTAATTTGTGAATTGAACCATAACCGTTCTTAATTTATTAGAATTGGTATCAAACCATTTCTTATAAAAAAAAAATGTATAATTTAAATTAATTTGGACCCTTTAACAGTTTGCTTAGGAGTTGGTTGAGATGTTCTAAAAAAATGTACTTTTTGACTTTTTATGAAATATGGGTTAGATTTGAAGTGTTGTGGTAGAGAGGCGATGTGACTTAAATAAGATGATATGACTTAAATAGGATTGCGACTTTTTAACTTTTTGACTTTTTTTGAATATGTCAAATTAGACCTTAATATATTTGAACACTTTTATTTGACAATGTAAATTGTATAAAGAGTAAAATATTACAATTATCAAAATATCGAAATATCTAAGCACATATTTTTTTCTAGGTTTTAGGGGTTGTTTGGGATGATCTAAATAAGTGTACTTTTTGACTTTTTATGAAATATGGATTGTGTTTGAAGTGATGTGTTAGAGAGGTGATGTGACTTAAATAAGATGATGTGACTTAAATAGGATAATGACTTTTTGATTTTTTTCAAACATACCAAATCAACCCTTATATACTTATTCCGTCTCAAAATATTAGTATTTTTTGAGAAATTTAAATTTTTTTATAGTACAATTATAACATTTTTAAAAAATTGATTTTTCTAAAATTATCCTTTAATAGTACATTTTTTGAGAAATATCAATTATTATAATTGTACTTTTTATGTTGTTAATGAATGTAAAAAAAATGACAAAATAAGAAATTTATACTATTTTTGTTCTTAATTTTTGAAAAAAGTTAATATTTTAAAATAATAAAAAAATAAAATAAAAAATAAATATTTTGAGTCATATGAAATATTTTTTATAAAAAATAAAAAATTAACTAATGTACGTGAGAATAGAAGTTCCTCACTATTTGGCCAACCCTTGACCACGTACTCTCCTTGTCAGGTCAGACTGATGGCTACTCACATTGTCACCGCCACGTCACAAAACAAGACTTCCTCGTAATTTTTGTAGTATTTTTTTACAAGGATCCCAACAAAAACATCAAATCAAAAAAATCTAAGATTCTATTCAAAAAATATATTAAAAAATATTAAACCCCGACTTTCATAACAAAATAAGCATTAAATTTTTAATATTGTTAATTTAAATTATAATTTTTAATTTATTTTTGTTAAATAAAATTAATATAAAAAAATTTAATAAAAAAATTCAATATAAATGTATAAAAAATATCTAAAATATTATTTTTGTTAAAAGTAATGAATAAAACATTATTTTTTCATTATTTTATTTAATAAAAATAGATAAATAATTTAAATTGAAATCAAATCAAAAGTTTAAAATTTAAATTAATAAAATTAAAATCTGAATGCTTATTTTGTTATATTTGAGAAAATTACATTTCAGTGATTTTCTCACAAAATAATTAGAAATTTATGAAAAAAATTATAACTTTAATTATCAAAATTCATAAATTTTACCACTAATTTAAAATTACGTTTAAACAATTACAGTGAATTGTATTTTTTCAATTTTCTTTTAGAATTTTCTCCAACCCATCCTCTAAATCCATCTCTATTTAGAAGGAGGATGAGTTGATCCTCCATATTTGGAAGGAGGATGAAAAATAGAGGATGCCCTCCAAAACAGTATTTATTCTATATTTTTTTATCATATTACAAATAACTTTTAATATGTAAATTTAATTTTTATAAAATTAGCATCATTAAAAAGTATGAAATCATACTTTTAAAATAAGTATAATATTAAATATATTTTACAAAAATTTTAAAATTAAATATTTGTTAATGAACAAAATTATTTTTTGATGAAAGGAAGATAAGGATTGTGAAGGTTTGTGGTTGAAATTTGAATGAATAGTAACATTCCTTATATTTACTTTTTAAATAAAAAAAAATTATTTTCACCTCTTAGTGAGAGGATTAAATTGGAGATCCTCTAAGAAAAAAATCTCTGTATCGTTACTCTAGATCATGTGTAGCCACGCCACGGTAGAACTCCGATCAATCATTGGAGGCCGTAACTAAACCATCTTTTAAAAATTTGGACAAATTACATATACCTCCCTCGAGGTTTGACTAAATTATAGATACCCTCCTAAAGTTTCAGAAATTACATCCTGCCCCCTGAGGTTTGTATTTTCATAACAATTTGTCCCCTGAGGTTTATATTTCATAACAAATTACCCCCTAGTTTATTATGCAAATATAGCATTCAGAGAGGAATTTATAATTTCTCAAACCTCAGGAGGTATTTATAATTTAGCCAAACCTTAAGGGGCATATGTAATTTGCCCTAAAAATTTTATGTGCAGTGTGTCCAATTCGTAATAATGGTTAAATGAATACATGATTATAATAATAAAAAGATAAATAAATTATAATATTTTACTGATCCAATATATGAATACGTGATCTTCCTGATTTACTATGACCTCATTTGATAAATTAGTTATTTTAGTTAATTTTTTTTTTATTATTTTAGCCTAATTAAAAAAATTATATTTTGAAAAGTAGTTGGTTTTTTTTAATTGATTTGATGGTTATTAAAGAAAAATAAAATAATTATGAATTAAATATAATATTTTATCTTATTAATTATTTTAATTTATTTTATTTTTATTAATTATTTTAATTTAAATAATCCTTTCCAGGCTTAAATAATTTTTAGGAACTAAACATAGATGTAGAGAGAGAAAGTAAGAGAGAGAACCACCGAATGACAGACTGCGGAGGGCTTGCTTGGGCTTGTCTTCCTCAATCAGGACAAAGTTGTACCTCGTGTATCCGAGGTGGCTGCATACACTGGCACAATCCAAATTCAGTATCTAAAGATTCAGTGTCGCAATAAGATGAAAGTAAAATAATTCTAAAATTTTTGTAGTAGCAGCACAATGGATAAATTAAAATAAAATAATTGAATATTAAATGTTTATTAAAAGAAAACAAACATAATCATTTAAGCTTTATTGTATTACAAGAGTCTGATAAAAAAAAAGAGATAGAAATCTTAAAAAAGGAAATAAAAAACAATACAACGATTCATTTCCCATCTTGATTCTGCTAAATCTCGTCACCTGAAAAGGGTAACAACTATAAGCACATAGCAAAGTGAGAAATATTATACTGTGAGTATATGGTACAAAATAGCCATTGATAGTTATTTAAGCTAAAACATTTAAGTTGCATAAATAAATTATTTAAGTGGTAGAAACTGAAATAAAAATTACGCAAATAACTATAACCACGGTACAGAACATGGGTCATTGGAGTGACAATCACAACACGGGTCAATAGATCCATGACAAACAGGGGACCACAAAGTGGTTAAACAAGGGGCCAATGATTTATTTAAGTTCCCCAAGGCGTGGGACTCCCGTGGTGGTACTTACATAACATAATTATTTATAAGATTATTGTCAAATAATTTCTAAAATTTAAACAAACATATCCATGAGTTTCAATTTAAGCAAAAAAGGTTTAGATTTATCCACGTAATTGAAACATTAACATAACCATAAAATATAAATTATATAAAATAAATTATGGTAACTCAAAACATTCATAAAATATATTATGATAATTTAAGACATATTTAAAATATATTATGATAATTCAAGATATAATATAACTCATCTTAAAATTGACTCTTAACTTTTAATTTTATTATTACAACTCCAACTATACCCCCTCACTTCTCGAAGCTTCACTGGTACACTACGAATAAGCCTCAGATTTCTTGTTCTTGTTTTTCTTTGAAGTTCACTGAAGTGAGTCCTCACTATTTATAGTTGGTAAATGGGCTAATAGCGGTTAGTGTGTGGCAACGTGTGGCTCACAAAATTAGGCCACCTGTCCAAATTCGGCCACTTGTCCAAGCATGTCACCAAGGCTGTATATACACATTATCCATCCTTTAGGCTAGGCTGAAGGCCTAGCGATATTTTTCTTTTCTACTTTTTTTTATTTTTATTTTTTATTTAATTGAATTCTAGAAGTTATGATTCCTAAAATTACTTATGATTATGCGTTAGGTTCGTATCTAAAAATCTCACTACCCAACTATAAAACATTACTTACCACTTACTAAAATATTTAACGTGCGGTGCCTCCTAATTTAATTCCTTAACAATTCCCAATTTCCTAAACTATACATTTATTTAGTTATTTATTATTATTATTATTGTTATTATTATTATTATTATATTTATTTATTTATTTTATAATTATAAAGAATTCTATTTATTGCAGTATTAAATAAAATTTACAAATTCGAGTGTCACATTTCTCCTCTCCTTAAAAGAAGTTTGTCCCCAAACTTTACGCACCTTGCTTTTCGAAGAGGTGTGGGTATTTAGCTCGCATTTGACTTTCAGTTTCCCACGTTCCTTCTTCGATACGATGATTTCTCCATAAGACTTTTATAAGAGGTATAGTCTTGTTTCGTAAGACTTGATTACGACGATTGAGAATCTGTACAGGTTGTTCTTCATAAGAGAGGTCTTCTTGAACCTCCATGTTCTCATAATCGACAACATGCTCTGGATCCCGAAGATATTGACGAAGCATCGAAACGTGAAACACATTGTGGACGTTGGATAGTTTGGGTGGAAGCACAAGGCGATATGCCACAAGATCAATCATTTCGAGTATCTCGAATGGGCCGATGTAACGTAGGTTTAACTTTCTCGCTTTTCAAATTGAATAACCCCTCTTGTTGGTGAAATCTTTAGGAACACATGATCTCCTATTCGAAATTCTAAGTCCCGTCTCCGTGTATCTACATAGCTTTTCTGGCGACTTTAGGCAGTGCGAATTTGCTACTGAATGAATTGAATTTTATCGCTCGTTATTTGCATGATCTCGGGGTCTAATAATTTTCTGTCTCCGACTTCCATCCAACACAGAGGTTATCAACATCTTCTTCTATACAGTGCCTCGTACGGTGCTATTCCAATACTTGCATGGTAGTTGTTATTATATGCGAACTCTAACAAAGGTAGATGACCATCCTAGTTACCTTTGAGGTCTAGCACACACAAACGTAACATACCTTTGAACTTCAGTCACTACCAGTGTATCATGTGACACTAAAGATGCCTAATCACTAAAGAAATCCAGCATCACTCTAACTTAAGGGTGCACTCTACTAAGGGAGAATCTCCACTAATATTTTGAAAGCATAACTTAATACAGAAAATTCACGAGATCAAAGGGCCTAAACTAAAAAGTCAAAACCTAATATACTATCAAACCTATTTGTAACACTTACAATCAAGATTCATAAATTAAAACCAACTTACACACGTGGCTTGGACTTTCACAAGCACACAATTCCACATTCCCATTTGTCAAAAAGCTACTAGAACCAGTTGATGACTCAAATGAAAATTTTTTATTATTTATTTTGAAGAGTAAATTATATAAATAATTCTTATAATTTACGCGATGTATTAATTTGATTTTTATTATTTTAATTTATTTAATTTTACCTTTTAATTTAACGTATTATGTCATTTTAATCTAATAAATAACGATTGTTAAGTTTGATAGACGGAAAGACAAACTATGTGTTAATTTGGTCTATGTAGTTTACATAATGTGTCAATTTAGTTTCTGTCAAAATCGAACAAATTAAAACAATAGGGACCAAATTGACACATTGTGTAAACTACTGGGATCAAATTGACACATTGTGTAGACTTTCCATCTACCAAACTTAACGACCGTTATTTATTAGACTAAAATGATATAATCCATTAGATTAAGGGGCAAAATCAAACAAATTAAAACAATAAGAATTAAATTGACACATCGTGTAAACTATAAGGACTATTTATATAATTTATCCTATTTTTAATCTTCTGTTGAATTTTCCCAATATTTTCGCCCCTTGCAAGTGGTCATGTTGGCATTGCACTCAAAATACAGTAATCTTTCTGGCTATGACTTCCAATTTATATATATGAAACAAAAAACTTTTAATCCCCACATTTAGAAATGAAATGTTAACCAAATTTTCTATGTTTATAAATGGGCAAGTAGTGTAACAGAAATAAATCAAGTTGGGTGTTATAATAGTTTCTCTCCATTAATTTAATAAGTTTGTGTGTTTACCAAATTTTTCATTTTTGTTAATCCTTAATTTATGCAATTTATAGTGGAGTGGAGATGGGTTTTAAAAAAGAAGATGGAAATAACAACTTAACAATTTTGTCATGCAATAACTACCAAACGTGAGCCAGCTATGGGCGAGGCATATGTGAAGATTAATGGACCTTCTTCTTACCTAATGTAATGAATATTTATATTTAACATAAATTCGTTACTTTATATTTAATGGGTGAAAATCAATATAGTGAAAGATAAGAAAATTACAATTAAGTGGTGTTTTCACAAAATAATTATAAATTCATGCAAAAATCTAACACTTTAATTATTAATGTTCATAAACTTTATCATTGATCTGAAATTATTTTTAAAAATCTAGACTCAATTGTAATTTTCCCTAAAAAATATATGACTATATAAAGCGTTATTCTAATAATACAAGTTGTTAGGTGGTTTTGTTTACGTTTAATGAGGAGACTTTAATTTCTTTTTGACCATCAATAATAATTTTAGCTGTTAGATTCTAATAACAAGAAAATCTGACAATTAATTGATAATTATTGAGGATACCTTACAATAATCTCTCTTCAAATTTAGATAAATATAATAAATCTTCCAAATTTAATATAATTATATTAGGCTTTTTTTACATTTTAATTCACATAGCATTAAGTCTTCTTTTTATTTGTAATTTAGTATTTAATATATAACGTTGCTAATAAATATAATTATACTAAAACAAGAAACTTCAATCAAGGTTAATGTAATTTACCGTTATTAAAAAAAATAAATAAGGTAATACTCTCTTACAATTAGTGGCATTGCTTCTAAAAATTAGACTAAATTTTCAAGCCCAATAATGTAACAATCCATTAGAATATTTAAGGTAACACTCTCTCTCATATCTTTTCAATCAGTAATTAATTATATCATTTACACATTATTGGGTCTAGAAAATAGATCTAGAAAGTGGATTTATATATCATTTTTCTAAAATTAAATGCAAAAAAAAAAAAAAATGAAGTATTTTTATGATATTTCTTATTACTAAAATTGACCTTATACCCAATAAATTAAAATTTGTTTTAATTACCAAAATATTGATGCACCCTTATTTTTTATTTAATTTTATTTAAGTTTACTTTAAAACACCCTTGTTAAAACATTAACGAAATGTTGATTTGGTAAAAATTTAAGAAAAAATGAGTAGAAGCTCTAATTAGAACTATCACTAATAATATAACAGTATATATTGTGTCTGTTTATTTTTTATTTATTTATTTTTATTTTTCCACCTCGTTAGTAATGGATTTAGAACTACCAAATTAGTGATCTCTACATCATTGAAATTTAAGTACCAGACTTGCCTTGTTTGGCACGTCTTTTTCATCTCAAACTCTATTAATATCCAAACTTTTCTCTCTTTTCCTTCCTCCTCCTCCTCCTCTCTCTCTCTCTCTCTCTCTCTCTCTCTCTCTCTGTTTCTGTTACATTCTCTCTCTACTTTTCCTGCTTATTTTACAGGGGTTTATCTTTCTACTTTTCATTTTTCTGGAGGTTAAATTCAATGTTCCTTCCCTTTTCTCACTTTTTCTTATACATTTTCTGTTTGTTTCCCGTCAAAGTTCAACAACTTTTTCTCAATACCTGTTGTCGACTTGTAGGTTCTGAATCCGACCTCTGCATTTTGAAGCAATTGAATTTTCCAGCTTTGGATTCAGGTACTGCGCCTTCTGTTTTCTCTTACTTTCCTTCTTTTTTTCTTCATTCCAGAAAATTTTTATTCTGCAATTTTATACAATGCCATTGGAATTGAGCTATAAGACTTGGGGTTTACGCTTTCAGTCTTTTTTTTTTGTTGAAGATCCATGTTTGTTTTGTTTATTTGTTAGGTTGATTTCCGTGATTGTTGTTTTCTTTTCTCAACTACTCTGTTTTTTATTTTATTTTTTATTTTTTCATTTCTGTTATCTCTCTTTGTTTAATTGAATTTGTTTCTGAATTAGACATCAGGATCGTCTACCTTGCGTGTTTGTATTTATAGCTTATGGCCACATACAAATTTATCATAATTTTGACAGCCTAATTTCTTAATTTCTTTTGTTTAAAGTATAAATATGTGATTTTGTTGGTTGTTGCAAATTGAGGAAAGATGTTCACCAAAAACACTCAGTTTTCAAAAAACTGAATTCAGATAAATGAAACCAATCACATTTTTTTTGGGTTATTATGTCCATGCTTGTTACTCATCAAGCCAAAATTGTATCCATCATAATTCAATCCCAACGGTAATAATGAATGATGATTTCATAGTCTTCATGTTAGATTGGTGGGGTTGGGTATAAATTTCTGTTTTTTGGCTGTTGCCGTGTCGTGTCATTATTGTAAAAGTATGGTGGGGTGTGATAAATATATATATTTTGATAATCGGATGTTTGGACCAATGCACATGCATCTTAATTAATGTGAATGTCCTGAAATTAACAACCAATCAAACTTTCAGTGGCTCAAGGTTCGGAATATTTGACTTTTGTGAGATTCGACCTAGCGATCTAATTTTACCCTGTTTATTATATTGCAATGCTGAATTGGTTCCTTAGATCTGCCAGTCAATGTGCTGATTCTTTCTGCACATGTATATGCTTCCATTGCCAAAGTAAATATGAAATGTAATTTATGGATATTTTTTGTTATGTCAGTAGAAGAGGAATTTACTTTTTTATAATTGTCTGATTAATTTATTATCTTTTGTATTAAGTATACAAGTATTTGTATACAATTATCTATGTTTTTTATATCTGTTTTTAGTTTTTTTTTGGGGTAATTCCGAAATACTTTGCTACATCTTACTAAAATATTTGTCATTTCCTACACATTAAAGCACCTGACTTTTTGGCAAACCTCAAGTCCAAAGTCGATTAAATTATTTTTCCGTAATTTTATGACAACTCATTATTACTTCTTTCTTACCTCAGTGATCATCTAGTTTGAGGTTTCTGTTCACTTTTTTGTAAGTTCTCTGTAAAAAGAATTGTCCTTTTCTGACCTTAGTTTATCGCGTAGCCTGAACAACCTTTTGTAAAGAAAGCTCTCATTCAAAAAGTGGGGCCATGGAATACGAAACAGCTTAATAGCATCTTCCTTTTGCAGATTTGCATATGCACAATTTCAATTTTTAACACAAACCATTCAAATTGAACTTCCCTTGTGCTATGCTAGCCAGGTTATTTTTGTAACACCCCGCCTAGCTTCGAAAATTTTATTCTAGATGATTATGCCATTGACTCAGCCTTATTAGGTGTAGCAGTGTTATCTCCAACACCCACTTCATTGTTATGTCCATGAACGACGAGCAGTCCTAATGCAAGCATAGACTGACAAGATTTTGTTTTTTTCCCCTCAATTGTTAGTCAAGCAGTACTAATGAATACTGTTCAACGTGGTCCAAACCTATAAAAATTAATTTTACTTGGTCTAAGAATTTAGTGGTACATACCAATGTCCTAAAGTAATTTTGTATTCAAAATCTGTGCCAGTTCTGAGCCAAATTCTGACACTAATAGTTAAGTGTAAAATGCACATTCACATGCATATATATGCAAATGTATACATATATATAAATATATAGATATTTTCAGATGTTTTGTGTTATATTCCTCAATGAACATTGTGTTATATGAACATGATTCTTAATTTGGATAGACAGGGGAGTTGCAATACAGTAGAAAGTGTAATGTTTAAATTTTACTATTGATTTGTTCTAATCCCTTCAAGTTAATTTTCCTTAGAAATTTCGTCAAGTGAATACATCAAATCTATGATTCAGCTTCTTGCAAGAGTGAAAGGGTTAATACAGTTAGAAAATCTGTAAGAATTGAGTTATTTCTGCCAATTTTCCTTTTTAATGAAAATCAATACTTGATTAGCAAATGACTTGTTTGTCATGTCAGGGGAGTTGCAATACAGTAGAAAGTGTAATGTTTAAATTTTACTATTGATTTGTTCTAATCCCTTCAAGTTAATTTTCCTTAGAAATTTCGTCAAGTGAATACATCAAATCTATGATTCAGCTTCTTGCAAGAGTGAAAGGGTTAATACAGTTAGAAAATCTATAAGAATTGAGTTATTTCTGCCAATTTTCCTTTTTAATGAAAATCGATACTTGATTAGCAAATGACTTTTTTGTCATGTTAATGGTGGAATGGTTGATTAAATTTAAAGGTTTTTTCAACTGTACTTATCCACAAAAAAAAAAAAAAAAAAAAGCAGAAAGGGTTTTGTTCAGCAGAATTGAGTCAAGTTCTTCATATTCTTTTTGCACATGGAAATATTTATTTGGAAAATTAAATCTTCTGGAATAAATGGAGAATGTTGGTAGTTCTGGAGTCCTATTTTTCTTTCATTAATTCTTAAGACAATCAAGAATACATCAAAGACATTAGATCATTCACCCTTCTGCCTATTATTGATTTTTGTTCAAAGATTCTTTTTATAAATGTATTGGATTATTTTCACCAAATTTGCATCTGGGCAACATCAGTTCTTCCTTTTACTTGAAGTGTATTTTGTCTATGATTGTTCTTTCTAGTAATATGTGGGTGGAAAATGCTATTTAGCATTTTATGCACATCACAGCTAATTACGCTGCAGAAATTTAGATTAACTGGACTCTATTTTTCATGCTACAGGTAGAAACTAGCTTGACTTTGTCAGTGTTGGAGGTTATACATCACTCTGTTCTCGGGCAAACTCGTGCAAATAATGTTCAGCCTCCTGCTATAAATGCAGTGTCGCTTTGGAGATGAGGTAAGCTGCAGTTTGAATATTTGTTTTGCTTATCAATTGAACTTCAAGAAAAGAAAACAAAAGTAATGTCTTTCATTTAATATGTTGCCTTCGTCATCAGATTACAGGAAGTCTTTGCTTGATGGACTGCTTACCCAGCAGTAGTGACAAGAAAACTTTGAAGAGGTGGTTTTTCATAGACAAAAGGGTTGGGTGAAGAATATTCAACATTTGGTGTATACCCACTACCCAATTCTGGCCAAGCAGTAGTTGTATATCATACACAGTTTGTATTCATAACGGTGTACACAGAATCTAGGTCGGATGGATTTGAAGACGACAAATGCTTCTCCAGTTCTCACTGATCCTGCACCGATAAACAAGTCCAGACTTGGAATTCATTCTGGTCTGTTCCCTTATTCGCAATCTGGACCATCATTCTCCTCTGGAATACTAACAACTCCAAGAAAGAAGCCAGGAAAGCTTGATGATGCTAGGTCCAATGGTTGGCTTGACGCCATGAAATCTTCTTCACCTCCTAGCAAGAAGATGCTTAAAGATTTCAATGTCGAGATGGCTTCAGATGATGATATTGCATACTACTCCTGGATGGTAGGTTAAGTGTCTCCTTATTTGTCTAAATTCCAGGCGTTGGTTACGACAAGAATTTGCCAAATTAATCTTTATGCCCATGTTATTTCTTTATTGTACAGCTGAAGTATCCATCAGCCATCAAGTCGTCCTTTGAGAAAATCATAAATCATGCAAGGAATAAGAAGATAGTGATGTTTTTAGATTATGATGGGACTCTTTCTCCAATCGTAGATGACCCTGATCGTGCATTCATGTCTGATGAGGTCTGTACCTACATCTCATCCTTTATCTGTGTGAATATTTGTTCATTTTCTTCTTCTCTAGTTGTATGTTTTTATTGAAGTAAAACCATCTCTTGTCAGATGCGTTCTACTGTTAGGAATGTTTCAACGTATTTCCCAACAGCAATTATTAGTGGAAGAAGCCGTGATAAGGTAGGCGGACAAATATCTATCTTGAATGATGATTAAAATTGAAGCAATTGAGCATTCAGTTCTATTCTGCCCAATTAATTTTTTTATGTTTGAACATACTCTTTCTGGATGAGATCAGTGTCTAATCCTAAGCTCTTTTCAGGTTTATGAGTTGGTCGGATTAGCAGAACTCTACTATGCTGGTAGTCATGGTATGGACATCATGTGCCCAGATAGGGAGACAATGTTTGCTGATCCTTCGAATAGGATTAAATCTACTGGCAAGCATGTAAGAGACTACGTCTTTAGAGAACTCCCCAATTGGGCTGCCACTGTACTCATTGTTGTCGATTGTGATCATAGCTTGTTTGAGTCATTTTTCTTGCAAACTCTAGGTCTTCTGATGTGCTTCTGTTTTATTTTGCTTGTGCAGGGCAAGGAGTTAAACCTTTTCCAGCCTGCAAGAGAATTTTTGCCCATGATTGATGAGGTGTTTAATTGCATTGCATATACTACTATATTGTGCAAGTAATCTACATTTATCAAATAACGTGGTACAAACTTGGTTCTTTTCATTAATTTGTGCAGGTTTTTAGAACCCTTGTCGAGAATACTAAAGATATCAAAGGCACAAAAGTTGAGAATCACAAATTTTGTGCCTCTGTACATTATCGTAACGTAGATGAGAAGGTATGGTTTGCTAGGTTCTTTAAAGAGATGATAGTGTGATGCAATTGATTGCATTAGATTGTTAGTAGTTTGGTTCACAAACCGAAGATGTTCTCCTACTTTTTGAATGATTTCAGAGTTGGTCTACTATTGCACAACGTGTTCACAATATTTTAAAAGATTACCCTCGGTTGCGACTAACTCATGGGCGTAAGGTAATATGCTCGTAAGAGCTTTGGTTATTAACAATATTACTAGCTTGTATATTTTTGCTATAGTATGTTCAATGTTAATTATCCTTCCGAAATTAGCATGTTCGATTAATAATTGGGCTTTCTTAGGTTTTAGAGGTTCGTCCTGTAATTAATTGGAATAAAGGAAAAGCGGTTGAATTTCTGCTTGATTCACTTGGTAAGTGAACTTGCTAGACTGTAGAGGTCTTATGTGTAGCTGTGTTACACCTGTCTTAGTTTTCTCCTTTAATTCATATAATTCAAGAATATGGTGCAGGACTAAGTAATGGTGAGGATGTGCTCCCGATTTATATTGGAGATGACAAGACAGATGAAGATGCATTCAAGGTAACTTCTAATCTGTTTTGGGGTCTCATGAGCTCACAAGGTCTATCCTTGTGGGTTTAGTGTTATGTTTTAGCAATCTAACTGATTGAAATAAAAAATCAAAGAACTTAAATAAAAATTGCTATATGTTTAGCAATCTAATTCATTTAATTTATCAATACTTAATATCAGGTATTACGGGAGGGGAACCGAGGCTATGGAATTCTTGTATCTTCTGTCCCAAAAGAAACGAAGGCATTTTTCTCTCTCAGAGATACGTCAGAGGTGCCAGACTGCCATTTTGTATTTTCATATCAATTTATTTTTATGTTTTCCCTCTTTTTTGCACCTTTAGATTTTAAGGGTGTAAGAATTTGAATTTAGGTGAAACAATTCCTCAAGTCTCTGGTGAGATGGAAGGAACAAAATGCACTATCCATGAAGAAGAGGAGCACCAAGTGACAGCCGTGCAACATTGCCAAGGACCCTTGGATCCCAAATCTTTGTATCTCTATCTTAAATTCGTCACAATTGTTGGAGTATGGAATTTCAAGACATGATTCAACAATTGTAAATATATTAAAACTGGAGAACAAAGAGAAGATTTAGGAACCAAGTATGGGGTGCAGTATAGTACAGATTACTTATTTTTTTGGTCTTATATTTTATAATGAATCAAGGAAGGTAGGAGCTGCTACATGTATTTGCAGTCCAAGTGGATTTTCATTTTCTTCAATTATTACTTGTCTTCTTTCTTTACACTCCGTTTGTTTGGATAAAAAATATTTTTAAAAAATGATTTCAATATTCTCTAATGTTTGGTACAATAGAAAGCGGAAGTTAACAGAAAATGTTTTTCATATTCGATAGAAAACAAAGCCTATTTCAATAGAAAATATTTTTTATTTTTAAAATGCAGAAAACGTTTTCTAGACAAAAGTCTTACCAATATCACCGCACTATATTTGCAACTCTCGAAAAGAGGTTTGATACAAATATGGGCTGATCTATTTCAAACATTATTTTAGACCAAATTTAGACATTGTTTGATGCATGTGTTGCCTTTCGTCATGAGTACTTAGTGCAATGGAAAAGGCTACCCGAATGTGAGGCAATTTGGGAGCCGGCAGAAGCCCTGTGGCAATTTGAAGAGAAGATCCATAGCTTCCATGAAGAAGACGCAATCATCACATTAGGTAAGGAGAGAATGTCTCAAACTGATAAATTCAGATGTTGTCCCTCACTAAAAGACTCTGGAAGGAATTTGAAGATCCTAGATGTTAAACTAGAGTTTCCTAATGCTGTATTTGGTTGGGAGATTTGAAGAGGAATTTGGAAAGGAAAAGGGAAAATGTGTGTGAAACTATGTGAAATGTATGTATATTTTATTCACATTTCACCTAACTTTTCCCTTTCCCTTTCAAAATCCCTCCTCAAATCTCCCAACCAAACACAGCGTAAAACGATGTAGAGAATGGTGAAACCTTGTTCATAATTCTAGAATGGTATTACTCTTCTTCTATATTCTAGAATAGGCCATTTGAGAAGATGGATGAAAAATCCAAAATTGTCTCCATCTTTACATTTATGGAATGTGCATTTCTAGAATGTTCATTGTAGCCTAAACAATAATAGCCAACAAATGGTAACAAACCTAGCAACTTGGAAGACCCTTGTTTCAAACATTTCTTTGAGTGAATTACATCTAATTAAGTACATTACTGGCATATATATAATTTGCAATTAGAAAGTTGGTTATTCTACAAAGAGATATAATTGGTTTGTTTTGAATATACATTTGAGTAATGAAATGGTTTTACTGGTTTAGATATATCATGAAATTTGGCTAAGCCTTCTATTGCTATGGCATAAGATAGTAATTGTGCAATAGAAAGACTTTCGAAGTATAACAATGTATAACAATAGTTGATGGCTCTCTTCCTCAATCTTGGGTTGTATCTCCCCCTGCAGCATTGGCTAACAATATTATTTGTACTATAATGAACAAATAGTAATTGTTTTTCAAAGTACAGCAATATTGTTTTTCTTATTTTGGCCAACGGTGTTGTTGGACACATAGAAAATCAAATCTATAGTTTTGGGATGATTCTATTTGCACCCAAATAATATCTCAATACGTTTAATTAAAATTTTGAAATTTTAATTCTTATAATACCTTGATGTAATTTTATTAATAAAGACAATACACATTAAATCCTAAAATAAAATATTATTTTTTTTTCTCATAGTACACCCATAATACTTATACATATTCTACATATTTAATTATCTCTATCTTCTTTCCCAAATTTCAATTATTTTTTCTTCATCTTATTCCTATTTCTAAAATTCTAATCCACCTCAACAAGACTCGATTATCATCAAAATCATTATTTTTTATGGTGTTGTTACTTTTTTTTTTTTTTAACTGTAAATATATTGATAAAACCAAAATTTAAACAAAAATAGGGCAACCATCTTTTCTAAGAGGATCAGCAAACCAAAAGGGGGAATAAACACCCAAGTTTTACACCTACCCCGCGTACCACCTACTTGCGCCACCGCAAGCATCAAGACCACCAACTAGCTCAAAAATATCGTGGATCACGTCTAAAAATGGCTAATTGTCTCTGACAATCATACCTATAAACGTGTATATATATATGTTTGATATTATTATATATTAATATTATCATATTGGAAGAGAATGAGGAGGTAGAGATGAAGAGAGACGTGTATTTCGTCATCCTCTTTCGTCGTTATCTTTTCCTTGAAAAATCTATTTAAGAATTTTTCAAATTAATGTAATTTAGGATTTTGATTTATTTATAATTTGGTTGTATCTTTTAAAGGTAATTTAGGAAAAAAAACATAAGGTGTATTAAAAATAAATTATAATTTTAAATAATGTAATAAAATGTACCAAAAAATTAGACGTATTTAAATAGAATCTCTATAGTTTTGGTGGCCAAATGTCTCTTTTCCTCAACTCGTATGAACTTTCCAAGACGTGTATGATCTATTTGTTGTCTTGTGGGCTAGTTCATGCAACATGGGCTGATTGTATGGTTGTTTTTCATTAAGCCATGTATTTTTGTTAGGCCTTGCTAATTGGGCTTTCAGAATGTTGTGTTTCTAGTAAAACACATGGGGGATTCTATTTACACCAAAAAAAATTATTAAGTGCTTCAAGTTTTTAAATACATCCTATTTAATTATTTAAAAATTTATTTTACTCTTATTACACCCTATTATTTTGATAATAATCATATGTGTTGGACTTTTCAAGAAATTTTTTTTTATGCTTATTCTTAATGCATTAAAGTGTTATTATAAGGGATAATAATCATATGTGTTGAGACTTTTCAAGGAATTCATGTGTGTTGGATTTCAAAGAATTTTTTTATGCTTGTTCTTAATGCATTAAGGTGTTATTATGAGGGTAAGACTTGGGGGTTGGGAGAAGTTAATAAATGCTAAGGTTTTTTTTTTTAAATAAAAAAATCAGGAAATTTAGATTGGGAGATTGAAGCTCCCATATGGCTTGGGGTTAAAAACTCCATTTTGCTTAATATATAGTATAGATAGATAGATATAGACATATAGACATATAGATAGATAGATAGATAGATAGATATAGATATGGCACATACCATTTATATGACACAAGGACCAAAGTACTGGAACAATTGCTGCAATTTGCCCTCATCTAAATTAAAGGGATTTAAAAAGTAAAAAAAAAATTATAATATTAAAAAATGTTCACTAAAAAAATATAGATTAAAAATTAAAAATTAATTATTAAAAACTCCATACTAAACAAGGTGATGTTTTCTATTAATTTTGAAAATTAAAAAATTATTATTAATTTTTCCTCTGTCTTTTTTCTCACATTTTTTTTATTTATTTTATTTATTTTTTTTTGTGGTGAGGGGTTTTGACCTACGATTTTTCTAAAACGAGTCTTCTAGACGAAAAGGGTAGAATTGGTTCAGACAATGAGAAAAAGTGGTTATGCAAGGAGCGCCTTCACTATGAGAAAGAATAGTCGGTTTTGCATAGGGTGCCTTCTTGGATAATAGATTCAATACTGGCATGCATGAAGGGCTTAAGTGTGAGACATATGAGAGGGGTTTTAGTGCGAAAATAAAAGAAATGGTTTACAGAGTGTCTTCTTGCTTCACGACTTCAACACTTGTGAGAAAGGAGTAGGCTCAAGTGTGAGAGAGAAATGAGGGTTTGTAGGAAGTGTCTTCTTGGGTCATGACTTGAGTGTTCGTGCACATGAAAATGAGTGATAAGGGTCAGAGTGTGTCTCTTGGGGTGACGGTTTCAGTGCTCCTGTAACAACCTACATTTCATGTCCTAGTCATGTTTGCATGCATTTATATGTTTTGCCATGCTAAGTTGCTGTAACAATCCATATTCATGTTGTAGTCATGTTCATGTTCATTTACATAGCTTTGTCTTGTTAAGTTTGCATTCATGAATCTTGTCTTGCTTTGTAGTTATGTGTTATGTCTAAGTGTTGCTTGCATGCTTTGTCCCTTTCCTGCTATGTTAAGCCTATGTCATTCCAAGCCTAGGTTATGTTAAGCCTAGGTCATGCCAAGCCTAGGTTATGTTAAGCCTAGATCATTCCAAGCCGAGGTAATCTTCAGTCTAGAATTGTCTTGGAACCACATTGTTTGACCTCCACCTTCGCCCTGACATATTGGCCGAGATGTCATTATCTAGGCCGAGGTGTGAATCACCAAGGCCGAGATGTGTATTATCTAGGCCGAGATGTTACCTTTGCACTTGAGTGACCTTGTCCTGGAGTGGTATGACCTAGACCGAGGTGTGGCACATCTAGGCCAAGGTGTGGCACAGCTTAGTCAAGTGTTGTCCTTCTTAGCCGAGGTCATTGTCACCTTAGTTGCTGAAGCTTTATCCTTAGCCGATGTCATCACTTGCCGAAGTGCCTTACCGGTTAGCTTGTTAGATACGCTTTGTCATAGTCTTGTCTTGTCAATCTATCACCTTTTTGAGGAAGAGAACCAACCAGCCGTTGCCACGTGTCTGAGCTGAGAGTTAAGTCAGCCGGCAGAGAGAGAGAAACCTATCATTTATTTCTATACTTGTTTTTAAGAGGAGAGAGAGGCTCTAGGAGAGGGAGAAGAGTTCTTGAGGGAGAGTGGATTTCCAAGCTTGATTCCTTGAGATTGAACTGTTAGATCCGTGTTCTAAGGTTATATTCCTAATCTGCTCTTGTCGTTCTTCATGTTTATGTTATTGCATTGCATGATTGAAAATGATTTGTAAGCTATGAATTGTTTTGAAGTTTGGTTTTAGAAAGAGAAAATAGCATTCATGTGCCCTTCAAGAAAAGTCATGTTTTGATCCGAAAGCTCTTGCCTAGATTCATGTTTTTGTGTTTGTTTTCATATGATTTTCAAGTATGGGTACCCAGGTCCATGTTTTCGAACTCATAGCATGAAATCCCAGATTTTGTAAATAAAGGAGTTATGATTTTAGCATTCATGTTCTTCATGATCTTCATGTTCATATTCTTCTTGTTCTTCAAGGGTGGAAACCCAGATCTCCAGACCTCACTTCCCGAGGTGTAGTCGCCGAGATCACTCTTACCTAGACCTTACACTTAGGCCAAGCATCGTATCTCACCTTGACCTACCTTGCATGATCACTTACACCTTTAGTTTGTCTTGTGCGCACCTCGGCATGCAGCCGCATGCCGAAGCCTAGGTAGCCACACCT